TGGGTGTCGAGGGACCCACTGGGGCCCCTGCTGAGGGGGCCTGTGGTGAGGGTGCGCCTGCTGCCCCTCCTCTCCCCAGCTCTACTGCTCAGATCCTGGCCTGTCTGCATCCAGCAGCCCCCCGTGCCCTCCTGGGAGGGCTGGACCTTGTCTCTTGGCGGCACTATGGGGTCCTCGGAGCCCTCCATCTGGTTCCAGGCAGGGCAGGGCCCCCTCCCAACACCATCAGCTGCCTCTGGTCACTCCCACCCCTGCCATCCAGGTCCTCCTAGCCCTGCCTGCGGGTGGAGCTGCTCCCTGCCAGGGAGGGTGGGCAGTCTTGGTGCCCCTGCCCACTCCCAGCCCCTGCCCTCTTAGCCCCCCTTCAGGGCCTCCTCAACCCGTGGGTGTCCCAGATTCCACAGCCTGACCCATATCTTCCAGGGAGAGTGGGTGCCCGGGCACCCACTGTGGCCCCACCCCAGCCTCCAAGTATCCATCCCTGTCCTGGGCCACTCGGCACAGGGAGAAGCGGCGCCATCTCCCCAGAGCTTGATTCTCCACTTCACGTGGACCCGTAGGCGTTGGCAAGTGGGCAAGAGGCCACCATAGCCCGGGAGGAGGGGGCACCTGGGCACCCCACCTGGAGCTGGAACCCCCAGAAGCTGCCCGGGCTCTACTTGGACACCCTCCAGCTCAGGAGATGGGGTGGGGCTGAGTTTGGTCTAAACACGAAGACCTCAGGCTCAACTGGAAATGCCATGGCACCAGGCCCCACACATCCAGCATGTCCTAAGGCTCAGGGTTCCTGGAGGCACCTCCACAGTACCTGCTCCACCCGGTGGGAAGTGGGGTGCGCGGTCCTCCCTCTCCAACCTGCACCCGTGCTCTGAAAATCGCTCTGAGGCCTGCAGCTGTCACGCGCATTCATTTACCCAGCATGAATTCAGTCCTCGAGGTGCCCAAAGCACAGGGTGCTGCATCCATCCATGTCCTGAGCAAGCCCGGACATCAGACACGTCCATCAATGCCTTCAGCAGGGGGCCGGTGCCAAGAGGGGCAGCTGTCCTGGGCGGGAGTGTGGTGGCTGCACCAGACAGGGTAGCTAGGGAGGCGTCCCTCAAGCTGAGACCGAGTGGAGGAGGTGAGCCATGTAAAGTGGGGGCAGAGTGGCTGGGGTGGGTGAGCCTGGGGGCCGCGAGGGGACCAGTGGAGGGCCTGGCAGGCATGCAATGAAATTAGGTGGTAACAGGTGGAGGTGGAGCCTCGCTATCTCTGAAATAATGCCGGTGCCAGTAGGCTGGTGCTCACCAGGCAGCACTGGAGGTGTAAGGAGGGGCCAGGCTAGGCCAGCATGAGGAGTGGAGCCTCCTCTGCCCACCTAAGGTCGTTAACTCCCACCACTGGGCCGGTCCCCACCCCAGCCCTCAGCGCTCATGGCCTTTCAGACCTGGCTGGGTCCATGAGCCCGGTGGGACCCCAGGGCTGCCTGGCTGGGATCTGCGCCTGCCTCCCAGCCCTTTCCCGCTGCCCTGGCAGGGCTGCCCCCAGAGGGCACGGGAGATGGGGTTGGGGTCTGTCTTGCGTGGGAGGCAGAGCCCCATCCAATTGTGTTGTGGGGTGGGGTTTTCTCCAGCTCCCCTTCCCCTTCCTCTAGCAATTGCAGAGCATCCTGGTGGGTTCCTCTGTTTCCAAGCAGCAGAGGCACCCCGCCTGGCCCCGGTCTCCTGAGGGGCCCTGGTAACCCCACCTCTCCGCTTCCGGGGGTGGGCACCCCAGAGGGGTCCCTTGGGCCATCTTGGGCCTTTTCTTGTTCTTTGGTCATGAGGACCCCAGGGAGGCCCCGTCTGGGTCTGGAATGCCTGGTGTGGTTGCCTTGTCAAGCTTGGAGAGGCTGGGAACTCGCTCATTTAAGGAAAAAAGACAAAGCAGTGCCTTTGCCGGGAACTGCCAGGAGACCCGGCCGGGGAGCGTGGTCAGGGCGGGCAGCTTAGCAACTCGCCTAGGGCTGCGCGGGACAAGTCACCTCAGTGATAAATCAGGGCTTTGTGAATTCCATGTCCTGGGCGGCCAAAGGCGAATGCAGGCTCCTTCCCTGTGTGGAGTTCCCCCGTCGCCCCTCAGCCCCCAGCGCACACCGGACAGGGACACCGGGGCCTACGCCGCTCTCCTTCCCGGCCGAGACCCCCGCCGTCCTCCCCATCGCCCGCTCCCCTTGCAGACGCCGCGGGGGTGCAGGTGCAGCGCGTTTGCTGCTCTGACCTGCCCGCGCCCGGGGCCCGCCGCGTTTACGTTGCTCCCTCCGGACAGCCCGGGGGCGGTAGGAGCCCCACAAATACAGGCTGAACGAATAAAACAAACGTTGAACGGCCTCTGCCAAACCCCACGCCCTCGGTTTTCCAGCGAGGAGCGTTGGCGCCGATGCCCGCAGCCTTCCTCTCAGGACGTTTGCTCCCAGGCCAGGAGGTGGCATCGCGAACCTCTCCAGGCAGTGGGGCCGCCGGGCGGCGGAGCCCAGGCAAAGGCATCTCGGTCGGAGGCGCTCGGACCTTCCCGGGAGGAGAGGGCGTTGTCTCGGTGGTTTCCGAGAGGGCGGCGCCGGGGGGCGCAGGAGAAAAGGTGCGGGCGGGAGCTGGAGAGGAGGCGGGGCCCGGAGTGCGCGCCGGGAAGCGCAGTTGAAGCCACCGGACCCGCCCGCAGCCCCTGGGGGAGGAGGGCCGGAGAGCGCGTGGGGCGCAGACCGGGGAGCCGGGTAGGACGCGGCACCTGCAGAGCGCGCCAAGACGCCCACGGCTTAGAAAAACGTGGGAGAGGGACCCCCCCTTACCCAGCTCCTCTGCGCCCCCAACTCACCCTGGACCCCATCCCGCGCCCCTGGGCCCTGGAGAGCCGCACGCTCCGCAGCCAGTGACACGCCAGCCCCACCCGCGACCCCACGCGTTCCCGCGGCAGCCCAGGGAGGACCCGGGGGCGCAGACAGACCCAGGGCCGCCGGGCCGCAGCGCAGCGCCTCCAGGTCCGTGTTTCCTCAGCCATAGAACAGCGCTAACGATGCCCCCGCCCCGCCCCTCCGGGGTGTGAGAGGAGCCGGAGCCGGTCCGGAGCGCGGCTTCCTCCCGCCATCCTGCCCGCGTGCTCCTCCCCGGCCTCAGTTCGGGCGACCCGCGCCCCTCCCGGCCCGCCCAGGGTCTACTCGGCCGCGTGGAGTAGGGGTCCCAGGGCCACAGCAGCCCTCGCCCCGCGCACTCCGCCCTGCCCCCTCCCCGCCCGCCCGCAGTTCCCGCGTCTCAGCTCAGAGCCCGAGCCTTGTGCCGCGGGCGCCGTCGCCTTGGGGTGCTGGGAGGGGCCCGAACCCGACCCGGGAGGGCCCTTCCTCGTGTTTCCTCCGAGGCAGCGGGGCGCGGGACCGGCCGGGGCGGGTCTGGGGGCCGGGCTGGCGCTGGGGGTCCCCGGGCCAGGCTCCGCGGGGGCCGATCACTGGCGGGGCAGCCGCGCCCAATCGAATTCTAATCCCAATTGAGTGCGGACCCGACGGGGGAAGCGAACCCTCCGTGAACGCGGGGCTGCACCTCAGCGGAGGGGAAGCCGCCGGGGCAGCCCCGAGCGCGCACAGCAGAGGCAGCGGCGGCCGCACCACTGCCCCGGAGTTTTCCAAGCCTCCACCCAGGAGCGGCCGACAGCGCCAAGTCCCCGTCTCGACCTACACAAAACGAAAACGGACTCTGGAGCAGGGCGGGAGGGAGCGGACGTGAGACCCCGGGCCCGAGCCCTGGGCGCCTCCTTCCTCCGCGGCACCGACCCCCTGGCGGCCGGGGCGAAACGGGAAAGTCGTTGCGAAGGAAACTCCCCCAGGCCCTCGGGGCTCCCCACGGGCCGTGGGTCACAATCACAGCCGCCCCGTGTCCCTAAATTAATACGAGACGCCACCCCAGAGGTCGGAGGGTTTGCTCGCGGCCGCCTTGCGCGGGGCTCGGAGTCATCTCACCGTCCGGTCTGCGGGATGAGCGAGCGGCTCCCGGTGCCGGGGGAGTGGGGCGGGGGGTCACAGGCTTCGCGCGCGCGTCTAAGGCCGCGTTTCTGCCGCTGCGCGCCCAACCCGCACCCACGTTCGGGCCCTGGACTGGGCTTCCGCGCTGAGGCCGCCCTGGTCTCTGTTCCCCCGGCCGGGGATTCGCGAGAGGCGGCCCGTGGGCGAAGTCGTGGGCCCGGGTCACATCCTGGGGGACCCCCAGCGGGCAAGCGCCGGGCAGTGCGTGTGGTCCCGGGACCCGCCTGCCCGCCCCGCTCCAGCCGGCCTCACTCCTCCACCGCGCCGGCCGCGTGTCGGCGAAACCAGAGGCAGCTCCGTGCGAGCCTCGCCCGGCCGTGAGGCCCGTGGATTCCGTGGACTCCGAGGCCCGTGCCCTCCGCCCTCCTGTGGCCCCGACCCGCCGGGAGCGCGTTCCCCGCCAGCGTCCGCGGCCGCCCACACCCACCGCAGCCACGGGCGGCCGAGCAGTCGCGACGGGGGCGCGGGCCGGGGCTCTTCCCCAGCGGGGCACTCGGAGCGCGCGGGCGGGTCCTCAAATCTGCATTCTTTCCGTTAATAAAATATGTTCTCGTATTTTTCCCTGATTTCGCATGAAAACCTTTGCCTAACTAAACTCCCATCCGAGCGGGATTTATTTCGTCCCCGGGGAGATAAATCAGGGGGCGAATTTACAGCCCGGGAGGCACCTGCCGCGCTAATGGGCCCTTCATGG